GTTTGTCTGGCCAACAAACAGAGTGAAGAAAAAGAATTGTGTTTGTTTGTTTGTATTCCTCCTTCTCTCTGTGTGTCTATCTACAAGAGCCTTTTGAAACTCAAGTCTGCTTGTGTGGGGAAATAACTTTTTAAAGTTACTTTTCGTATCCTATCACTTATTGGTGATGCTACTATGAAACTTTTCTTATCCCAAATATATAATCATTTCTCAATCTCTAAAACTATGTGGTCTATTTTAGAATAAATGTTCTCCTACCCTTGGCAAGTTGCACACCTTAAAATTTACTTTTTAAAGTTACTTTTCGTATCCTATCACTTATTGGTGATGCTACTATGAAACTTTTCTTATCCCAAATATATAATCATTTCTCAATCTCTAAAACTATGTGGTCTATTTTAGAATAAATGTTCTCCTACCCTTGGCAAGTTGCACACCTTAAAATTTAGGCTTTTAAAATTATTTGGAGTTTTCAGCATTTTCAAACTGCCTGCAAACTACCCCCCTTCCAATTCTTTTCCTGCTCTTTGTTCTCCAAACCTTTTGTCTGCCTCTCCTGGTAGAGTCTGTCCAGAAAAGGGGGGGGAGACCTTGTTCTTGTATCTTTCAGCCATGAAACCCTCTCCCAAGCCTTTGGAAGCACAACACACAGACCCAGATGCTGCCTCCATCCATTTGAGCCATGGGATTGAGTTTGAATCCAGCCATCCACTAAAAAGCCACCATGCATCTTCCCAAGTCCTACCATTTCCCCAGCTGCCTGTGAGAGCTGCAGAAGGAAGGTGGTGCCACGTGAAGCCTCAGAAGAGAAAACTAAGACTGTGGGGGGAGGGTGGAAACTCATTGTAAACTTTTCTTTCTTGCCCCATTTGTATTGTAACAAGCCAGTTGAATGTATTAATGGAGAGATGGGAATATGTGGCAGAACAAATACTGAACATCTTGGACTTCTATCTGGTGGGAGGGAAAACTTTTCCAGAATGTTTGTATTGCCTGTTTTGTAGAAATAGCTGCATATGCACACACACACACCATTCACACCATTCAGAGTCTTTCCCCTCCACCTACCGTTAGTAAAGTTCCCCCCAGGCTGATTTTTGCTCTATTGCACCAAAGCTTTGTGGGACCAACTTCCAACAGATTCCAAGGGGGAGGGAACTAGGCCCCCTCAGGTGATTTGCAATTCATATGCCCTGACTAAGGAAGCAACAGGGAAAATCCCAAACTTCAGCCCTGAATATTTTGCACTGTTGAGCTCAGATTTGAATTCCTAGAACTCATTACGTGCAATTTAAAGAAAATTTAATAGACTGGCATATTGGACATTACAAACCTGGATGCACTGAATTAAGAGCTAAGGCAGGAAACAACCCTTGAAATTGGGCAGCCAGTGGTCATGTAATAAGGAAAACCATGGCTGTGAAGAATTTTGGGAGGTATACAAACCTGACTGGAAGCTAAAGGTGACATCCAGCATTTGAAAATGATTGGCACAGAATATTGGATACTATAAATTTCTTTTCCACCTAACAAAATTTTGCCCTGACTTTTAGAACTTTATGGGTTGCAAGCTCCCCTTTTGGGAGCCACTAAAGGGATCCTTTTCTGCTGCCTCCATTAATGTCTTTTTCTTTTTTTGCTTAACAGTTTAAAAGCTTGCCTACCAAGTCTCCCTGACCAGATCAATTTTAATGTCATATATTTACACACTTAAGGCACAAAGTGGGGATATTGATGGAAGTTAGCCCCCCCAGAAGGAAATATTAAAAAGGGCAGAAAAATATATTTTTCCTCAAAAGGACTTTTTAAAAACCAAACCTGGCCCCAAATCTATCTGCCCCAAACAAGAGCTAGGCCCATACAGATGCAAATGTAACACCATCAGAAAGTTGGAGCCAGAGCAATCAAGAAGACAAAAGAGAAGATCTGCATACCCCACCCAAACTCTAAGAGTCAGCCCCATCGCCTGGGAAGCAGGATATGATAATGCAATTTCCTGAAGAACCATCTTTCTGCAATAAACTGTAATCTTCAGGAACTGTCACCCACCAACAGGTCAATTTAGTAACTACACCTATCACTGCAGTTCAGTTACCCTTGCTAACCAAACCAGCCTTCACTTTGCCAAGCGACACTGAGGATGACTTCCTATAAAGCGCAACCTCCTTATTTTTTAAATAAAACAGAAAAGTAGGAGATGTTGGAATTATTGGGTTATCTGGCCTGTTAGGCTGAGTCATCAGCTGCAGTAGGCCAAGGTATGCGGAAGTCAGAAGAGAAAATAGATTGGCGTAAACAAGTTTGTGCCGTGCGGTGCAAGGGAATGTTGTTTTGGTGTTTGTTAGTGCCGTGTGCAACAGCTGTATAGTAGCGTGTGCAAAACAAAGTTAGCACGTGTAATATGCTAATATGCTGTGTCATAACAAATGTGGTTGGTGTAAGGTGGTCACCAGGTGCCTATAAACCCGCCTTCTGATAACACAATAAAAGGGATGCTTCGTCTTTGTTCGAGGCTCCCATCCCGAGGAAACCACGTGTACGTGTCTGTTCTTCAACACCCATGGGAGACCGCTGGGCGCGAGAAAACCCGCACTGTTACGCCTATTAGTTCTTTTCCATTGACTTGAACCATACTTCTAGATTCTTACTCCACTTTTAAAAGAAAACAAGCTGAAAGGATGTCCTTAGAAATAAGTTTACTTAAGAATCAACAGTCTAAGACACAGAAAAAAATACTCAAAAAAGCTGCTTTTTTAATTTTTCTGCTTCCTTATTTATCTTATTTATCATCCAAGAATTTTCATTACCGTTAAAGAATTATATGTTGACTCAAGTATGCTTAACCCAAATGGTGCCTTAAATGCATTCATTTTTATTTAAACAAAGAATATTGACTTTTGCAGGTAAAATAAATGTGGAAAAACCTAAAATAGTTTTTATGAGAGCAAGTTGTCACACTGTGAAAACAAACTTGATACTTAATCTGTCCATTTCCAAAATAATAAACAGATAGAAACTGTCTCTCTCCCATAAAAGAGTCACTTGTAGCTTTTTACAAAGGATAGGGGGGAAAAACATAAGAATTTCAATATTGTTTGCAGTATAAATAGAACTCATATCTGAGTTACAATAATTGCTTGATTTCTTTTGCAATGGCTTCTCAATTTTTCTACAAATCAGAAGTCTTGGGTTCTTGATGCATGTTCTATCTGTTCATTATTTTTCCAGCCCATCTTGCTGGGAAGATATCCAACATATTTGGACATTATAAGAAAACCAAAATGTGCGGGAAACCAATTTTTGTAGAAAGTTTATTCTGATACCATAGTTCTACTATAAATATGAACAATAGTCACTAGCAATTAAATAATTTTCTTCAGTTATAAAATTATTAAGACAAGAAATAAGCCTAGAGAATTTTCAGTATTCTGAAAGTTTTAAGAAAAAAATTAGAGTTTTTTCTCTCTTAAAATGTTTGTGCCCATGTATCCTGAAACAAGACAAACACAAGTCAGGAATATTTATTGCAGTTCTGAGGAATTAGACAATGGTATTCTGAAACCTTAAAAAGCCCCAGAAGTCTCAATCTATCTAGAAAAGCCTTTCAGATTCTCTAATTAAACAGTGAGATATAGGAAAGCTTTTGACTGAAATTTCTACTTATGCATAAAACTTTCCATACATGGAACAAACAGTATTCAGTGGCACATGGCCAAATTGAAACACAAGTTTGGTTTAGATCTACAACTCCCTCAAATATAGACATATTGGGTAGAAGTAATCTGGGATGAGAGACAGCATGAAAAGCACAAGGCCATAGATGATGCTATGTCATAATGATTAAACAGAGATAAGCAGAAAATATGTTTTGGGAAGATCAGTAGAGAGGTGAGTGGACTGGCAGTAGCTACAAAGAAGGAAGGGGCTTGAGAGATGGGGAAAGGGTAGATGGATCAGTCAAGTAGTAGACCATGCTTAAATTCAAATGTGGCAGCAAGTAGGTAAGCTACCAGAATTATTGTTTGGAAGGCTACTCATCCATAAAACATCTCTGAGTTTCTCTCAGACAAAACCCAGAACAAACAAAATATTCCATCTTTCAGTTTGACCAAACTTTGACCCTCCTCAAATAGTTTGATAAGATTTACAATTTGCTACATATTTCTTTTGTGCATGAAACAAAAGATATCTTTTCTGGTTCATGCACTTCTCTATAATGCTCCTTAACAACCATAAAAAACCAATTTATGTGCCTTCATTTTTAAAGTACACACGAATTTATATTCTAAACCATTCCTCTGTGAGCATTGTTACTGTCTTTACTATATATCATTTTGTTTGTATATTGAGCATAATGACTATAGTAATGACTTTACCATAAAGAGCAATGAAACATCTTTAAAAACACATAGAAAATATGGGTCCTTCGGGTCCCTGATGGAGGCTTATTGTGGTATCATTATAATTACTTCATTCACTTGGCTCCTTCTGGAATTTTCTAAATCCTTGAAAACCTAGATGTTCCTCAGGCCTGGAGTTTGGATGTGCCTGCCAATATGATTTTTAATATGAGTATTGTATGTATTTGGTTAGATCAGACATGTCAAACTCGCGACATCATGTGACGTCGTGCAACGTATTGGGACAGTTTTGCCATTGCTAGCAATGGGGTGGGCGTGGCTTCCAGATGATGCATCCGGCCTGTGGGCCGGCAGTTTGAAACCCCTGGGTTAGATTGTCCTTAGACACCATTATCTATTTAGTTATTTTTTTTGTTACTTTCTTTTGTTGGTTTTTAATTTTATGATGTTCCAGCACAGGCACAGCTGACAAGATATAAATTAAATAAATAGTAACAAGCTGAAAAAATATAAAGCGACTGACTGAAAGAATGAATAGTAGTGCAAATCAAAAATTAAGATGTGTAAGAACACTGCCAGCCTCAAATAATGATATGGTCTAAGAAATATTTAATTATGTTTACTTGTAAATTTACTTACCATATGCATCTGCTCGAAGGAATGAACAGAAGCCAGTTTGTCTAGAAAGAAGAAAAATAAAGAAGCCCTTGATAAACAATATGCAAATACTGAAAATCTTTGTCAAAATTATCATGACAAAAGCAACAACAGCACCTATACCTGTTGGGTTGCCACCAAGATGCTCCATCTTTTCTTGGAGAAATCCAATCTGCCTTTCTAGCTGTTTGTTCAGTTCTACTTGGGTTTCATATCTGGTTTTCCATTCACTGTCTTAAAAGTAAAATATCATATTAATGCTTATTATTTCAGTAAGTCAAAATACTTTGTGTTATAACTATGAATTCTTTGCATCTAAGAGAAGCTTGATAAGCATCTATTTATGTTAAAATCTGAACACACTATAACATCTAAAAATGTTTGCTAAAATTCTTGTCTGTAACTTAAAAATTAATGCTAACTAAATCTTGTTGGAGTCATTGGGTTATCTGGCCTGTTAGGCTGAGTCACCAGCTGCAGTAGGCCAAGGTATGCGGAAGTCAGAAGAGAAAATAGATTGGCGTAAACAAGTTTGTGCCGTGCGGTGCAAGGGAATGTTGTTTTGGTGTTTGTTAGTGCCGTGTGCAACAGCTGTATAGTAGCATGTGCAAAACAAAGTTAGCACGTGTAATATGCTAATATGCTGTGTCATGACAAATGTGGTTGGTGTAAGGTGGTCACCAGGTGCTTATAAACCCGCCTTCTGATAACACAATAAAAGGGATGCTTCGGCTTTGTTTGAGGCTCCCATCCCGAGGAAACCACGTGTACGTGTCTGTTCTTCAACACCCATGGGAGACCGCTGGGCGCGTGAAAACCCTTCGTCTTTGTTCGAGGCTCCCATCCCGAGGAAACCACGTGTAAGTGTCTGTTCTTCAACACCCATGGGAGACCGCTGGGCGCGAGAAAACCCACAAATGGTGACCCCGACGTGATTCAAGTTTCTGAGCGCGTCTCCTCTTACTCACTCAGCGGACGAGCTTACTGCAACTCAGGGCCGGTCGTCAGAGCTAGACGAAGCACCCTCCCAAAACATTACCGTGAGTATGGGGACAGGATTCTCTAAGCCTCAGGTTGCGCACCTCCCAGAACTTAGGGAATTGACCAAGTCATCAATAATGATTTTGAAAAACAATGGGAAAGATTTGCTGCTTCCCACTAAAAGGGATTTGATCCTCCTCTTAAAATATGTATATCTAAATTGCCTTGCATAGCCCGAAGGAGGATCCCTAAAAATGTCTGTGTGGGTTAAATTAGGAAAACTGTGACTGTTAACTGTTTCAAATCCAAAGGAAAAAGGATTTTAAAGTCTGCTAGAAATTCTGCTTAAAATAAGCCACAAAAAGGAAAAACCTCACTCTGTTTGTCTGGCCAACAAACAGAGTGAAGAAAAAAAAATGTGTTTGTTTGTTTGTTTTCCTCTTTCTCTCTGAGTACTCTCAAGAACAGCCTTAAGTTACCAGGAGGGATTGTTTTAAGTTTATCTGTTGGAAAAGTTTCACTTGCATTTACTGTATGTGTTTTATCTATCCTTTTTTCGTATCCTATCACTTATTGGTGATGCTACTATGAAACTTTTCTTATCCCAAATATATAAACATTTCTCAATCTCTAAAACGATGTGGTCTATTTTAGAATAAATGTTCTCCTACCCTTGGCAAGTTGCACACCTTAAAATATTAGGCTTTTAAAATTATTTGGAGTTTTCAGCATTTTCAAACTGCCTGCAAACTACCCCCCTTCCAATTCTTTTCCTGCTCTTTGTTCTCCAAACCTTTTGTCGGCCTCTCCTGGTAGAGTCTGTCCAGAAAGGGGGGGGGGAGACCTTGTTCTTGTATCTTTCAGCCCTGAAACCCTCTCCCAAGCCTTTGGAAGCACAACACACAGACCCAGATGCTGCCTCCATCCATTTGAGCCAGGGGATTGAGTTTGAATCCAGCCATCCACTAAAAAGCCACCATGCATCTTCCCAAGTCCTACCATTTCCCCAGCTGCCTGTGAGAGCTGCAGAAGGAAGGTGGTGCCACGTGAAGCCTCAGAAGAGAAAACTAAGACTGTGGGGGGAGGGTGGAAACTCATTGTAAACTTTTCTTTCTTGCCCCATTTGTATTGTAACAAGCCAGTTGAATGTATTAATGGAGAGATGGGAATATGTGGCAGAACAAATACTGAACATCTTGGACTTCTATCTGGTGGGAGGGAAAACTTTTCCAGAATGTTTGTATTGCCTGTTTTGTAGAAATAGCTGCATATGCACACACACACACCATTCACACCATTCAGAGTCTATCCCCTCCACCTACCTTTAGTAAAGTTCCCCCCAGGCTGATTTTTGCTCTATTGCACCAAAGCTTTGTGGGACCAACTTCCAACAGATTCCAAGGGGGAGGGACCTAGGCCCCTCAGGTGATTTGCAATTCATATGCCCTGACTAAGGAAGCAACAGGGAAAATCCCAAACTTCAGCCCTGAATATTTTGCACTGTTGAGCTCAGATTTGAATTCCTAGAACTCATTATGTGCAATTTAAAGAAAATTTAATAGACTGGCATATTAGACATTACAAACCTGGATGCACTGAATTAAGAGCTAAGGCAGGAAACAACCCTTGAAATTGGGCAGCCAGTGGTCATGTAATAAGGAAAACCATGGCTGTGAAGAATTTTGGGAGGTATGCAAACCTGACTGGAAGCTAAAGGTGACATCCAACATTTGAAAATGATTGGCACAGAATATTGGATACTATAAATTTCTTTTCCACCTAACAAAATTGGGAGCCACTAAAGGGATCTTTTTCTGCTGCCTCCATTAATGTCTTCTTTTTCTTTTTTTGCTTAACAGTTTAAAAGCTTGCCTACCAAGTCTCCCTGACCAGATCAATTTTAATGTCATATATTTACACACTTAAGGCACAAAGTGTGGATATTGATGGAAGTTAGCCCCCCCAGAAGGAAATATTAAAAAGGGCAGAAAAATATATTTTTCCTCAAAAGGACTTTTTAAAAACCAAACCTGGCCCCAAATCTATCTGCCCCAAACAAGAGCTAGGCCCATACAGATGCAAATGTAACACCATCAGAAAGTTGGAGCCAGAGCAATCAAGAAGACAAAAGAGAAGATCTGCATACCCCACCCAAACTCTAGGAGTCAGCCCCATCGCCTGGGAAGCAGGATATGATAATGCAATTTCCTGAAGAACCATCTTTCTGCAATAAACTGTAATCTTCAGGAACTGTCACCCACCAACAGGTCAATTTAGTAACTACACCTATCACTGCAGTTCAGCAAACCTTGCTAACTAAACCGGCCTTCACTTTGCCAAGCGACACTGAGGATGACTTCCTATAAAGCGCAACCTCCTTATTTTTTAAATAAAACAGAAAAGTAGGAGATGTTGGAGTCATTGGGTTATCTGGCCTGTTAGGCTGAGTCACCAGCTGCAGTAGGCCAAGGTATGCGGAAGTCAGAAGAGAAAATAGATTGGCGTAAACAAGTTTGTGCCGTGCGGTGCAAGGGAATGTTGTTTTGGTGTTTGTTAGTGCCATGTGCAACAGCTGTATAGTAGCGTGTGCAAAACAAAGTTAGCACGTGTAATATGCTAATATGCTGTGTCATAACAAATGTGGTTGGTGTAAGGTGGTCACCAGGTGCTTATAAACCCGCCTTCTGATAACACAATAAAAGGGATGCTTCATCTTTGTTTGAGGCTCCCATCCCGAGGAAACCACGTGTACGTGTCTGTTCTTCAACACCCCTGGGAGACCGCTGGGCGCGTGAAAACCCTTCGTCTTTGTTCGAGGCTCCCATCCCGAGGAAACCACGTGTAAGTGTCTGTTCTTCAACACCCATGGGAGACCGCTGGGCGCGAGAAAACCCACAAATCTGTATCACAACAGGAGAGAATGGAAGACCTGAAGAAGAACAGACTCCCTCTCTTACTGGTAAATGGATAAATTGACTCTCCTGATACCTAGAAGAGAAGAACTTTAAAATATAGCTATAGTTCACTGGTAGAACATGTTTTGCTGAAAATCTCAGTTTTACCCTAGTAATGTATTGCTCAGAGTATGAGGAATAAATTAGATGAATTGGAAATTCAAGTAAATGAGGGCAGATACGATATTGTTGCCATTATGGAAATGTGGTGGGATGAAACCCATAAATGGAACATACAGCTACAGGGATTTAAATTATTTAAAAAAAAACAGACCAAATAAAAGAGGAGGTGGAGTTACTCTCTATATACGAAATAACTACATCTCTACAGAAATAGAGCACAACAATGATGAAAACTCTCTTGAATACATTTGGATCAATACAAAAGGGGGAAAATGACATTGCTATAGGTGTACACTATAGGCCACCCAATCAAACAGAGCAAATAGATGAACTTTTTGCTAGTCAGTTAACTAAGGCATGTAGGAAGCACATTACAATAGTAATGAGGGACTTTAACTACCCTGACATCAACTGGGAGACAAACTGCACCAAGTGGAAGTTCAAACAGATTCTTGACAAACCTAGCAGAGAACTTTGTCTCCCAAAAAGTAGAGAACGGAACTAGGGGATCAGCTATATTGGATTTAATCGTCACTAATAGAGAGGAAATGATAGCAGATGTTGAAGCTACAGGAACCTTGGGGAGGGAGGGATCATACAATTTTGGAATTCCACATTACGCAAGGACAAGCAATAGAAAATAATCAAACTAGAGTCTTGGACTTTAAGAGAGCTAATTTCAACAAACTTAGAGACAGTTTGGGAAGGATTTCATGGATGAGAATCCTCAAGGGGAAAACAACTCAAGAAGCTTGGGAAATTTTGAAAAGTGAGATTATAAAAGCCCAGTCTCGCACAATACCAATGAAGAAGAAAAATAACAGCTCTCAAAAGAAACCAGCATGGTTGCATAAAAAACTCTCTGATAAATTAAAAGACAAAAAGGACAGAAATAAAAAGTGGAAAGAGGGACACATAACTAAGGCAGAATATCAGCAAATAGCCTGAGCCTGCAAAGATGAAGTGAGGAAAGCTAACGCTCAAAATGAATCAAGGCTTGCAACAAAAGTCAAAAATAACAAAAAAAGCTACTTTCAACATGTAAAAAACAAGAAAAAGGTTAAGGAAATGATTGGTCCACTAGTGGGAGAAAGTGGCAAGAAGGTGACAAGTAGTAGAGGGAAAGCAGAACTACTTAACTTGTTTTTTGCATCTGTCTTTACACAAAGGAAAAAA